CCCGTCAGCCGGGGTCGAGCCTGTACACTCTGACCACTGCGTCTCCTCCAGTTGCTGAGTCTGGTAGGGTAGTTACGTCGGGTCAGGTGTTTGCTGCGGCGTCCAGGTCTGGTCCTGAGTCTGCCCCCTGTTCGTGTCGTCTCCTGTCTCACGAGACTCTCCTCTGGCACCACCGCCTTGGCCACCCCTCTCTGCTTCGGCTCAGAGGTATGGCCTCCCGTCTTCTTGTGTCCGGTCTCCCCCGGTCCCTCCCTCCCCTTCCTCAGGGCCCTGGCCCTGCCTGTGTCCCCTGTGTCGAGGGGCGCCAGCGTGCTGCCCCTCACTCCTCCCAGTTTCCTTCGACAGAGGCCCCGTTGCAGACACTTCACATGGACGTGTGGGGCCCAGCCCGCGTCCGTGGACAGGGTCACGAGCGCTACTTCCTGCTCGTTGTTGACGACTACTCGCGTTACACCGCAGTCTTCCCCTTGCGCAGCAAGGGTGATGTCACTGAGGTGCTGATCGACTGGATCCGCGCAGCTCGTCTCCAGCTCAGGCGGAGCTTCGGCTCGGACTTTCCTGTTCTGCGTCTGCACTCGGACAGAGGCGGAGAGTTCTCCTCTGGCCTTCTGCGTGCCTACTGTCGTGCACGGGGCATCCGTCAGACCTTCACGCTTCCGGACTCACCGCAGCAAAATGGGATTGCTGAGCGCCGCATTGGCATGGTCATGGACGTCGCTCGTACGTCTATGATGCATGCGGCTGCCCCCCATTTTCTATGGCCGTTTGCGGTGAGGTACGCGGCGCATCAGATCAACCTCCACCCCAGGGTCTCCAGGCCGGAGACCTCCCCAGCCTTGCTGTGGACGGGGAAGGTTGGCGATGCGTCGGCGTTCCGGGTCTGGGGATCTCGGGCGTTTGTCCGCGACCTGTCTGCGGACAAACTATCCCCTCGTGCTGCTCCTTGCGTCTTCCTGGGGTTCCCCCCTGACGCGCCTGGGTGGCAGTTTTACCACCCCACCTCTCGCCGTGTTCTGTCCTCCCAGGACGTCACGTTTGACGAGTCGGTCCCCTACTACCGCCTCTTCCCCTACCGCACTCCGTCCCTCCCCCCACCCCCACTCTTCCTGGTACCAGGTCCCCCCCAGGTAGACCCCCTCCCCCCTCAGGGTCCTGCCCCTTCAGGTGTGTCCCAGGTAGACGCAGTCGAGCCTGTCGAGGTCACTGGTGACTCTGGTGCTGCTGAAGGTGCTGAGGCTGGGGGTGCTGTACCTGGGGGTGCGGAGCCTAGGGGTGCTGGGCCTGGGGGTGCTACGTCTGGGGGTGCTGAGCCTAGGGGTGCTGAGCCTGGGGGTGCTGAGCCTAGGGGTGCTGAGCCTGGGGGTGCTGAGCCTGGGGGTGCTGAGCCTGGGGGTGCTGAGCCTAGGGGTGCTGAGCCTGGGGGTGCTGAGCCTAGGGGTGCTACGTCTGGGGGTGCTGAGCCTAGGGGTGCTACGCCTGGGGGTGCTGAGCCTGGAGGTGCTCCGCCTGGAGGTTCTCCGAGTGCTTCGTCTCGCCGGGAGCCACTTTCGCCACAGGAGCTGCGTGAGTGGTTTGCCCGGCGCTGGAGGCGTGCTGCTGGTGCTGGAGGTCCTTCGGCTGCTGAGGGAGCTGCGGTCGCGGGTCCCGGAGGTGCTCGTCCTGGGTGCACTGGAGCTGGTGCTGCTGAGGGTGTTGGCGCTGAGACTACCGCTGGCAGTCCTACTGGGGGTGCTCCTGGTGCTGCTGGAGGTTCTGGAGCTACTGGTGGTGCTGCTGGAGCGGGTGCTCCTGCTGAGGGTTCTGGTGCTGTCCCTGCTGCTTCTAGCGTCGCCGCGCGGCCTCGACCGTACTTCGTTCCACTCCTGCAGCAGGTTCTTGGTCTTCCACCTTCTACTGGTCCTCCTCCTCCCTTCGAGTGTCCACAACCTGTCTCGTCCCAGCTACAGTTGCAGCCTACCTCCCCTTTGCCTGCTCCTTCTCCCTACACTGGTCCTACTGGAGGTCTGGCTGAGCGTCGTGAGCCTGCGTCTCGCCCTGCGTCGCCTGTCCGTGCTGCTCGCACTAGTGGTCGCGGTTCGCGTCAGCGTCCTCCTCCTGTCCCTGGCACGCACCGGATGTCTCTGCGTCCGTCCACTGCTCCTCTGCGTGCCCCTTTGCCTTCTCCTCCTGAGTCCTCTCTTCCTGCTCTTGCCGACCCGGAGTCGGACTCTCTTCGTGCTGCCAGTCCTACTGTCACGCGTCTCCTTGCTACTGTTGTCACTGACCCTTCTTTCGAGTCTACTGCTGCGTCTGCTCTCGTTACTGAGCTCGTCGACTTTGCTGCTCGCTGTCGCTTAGACTACGCTGCTAGTCTTGTCGCTGAGTCTGAGTCTGTCTGTCCTCCGTCCGTCGGGGGTGAGTGTGCCCTTGGCACGGACGTCCTTGAGGACAGGCAGGAGGAGTTCCAGTGTCTGGCAGCTGCCTCACCTCATCTCGTGTCCGTACTGCTTACCCCTGAGGGAGACCCGGATGCACTTGACATCCCGACTCCGCGCTCTTACGCAGAGGCGATAGAGGGTCCCTACTCCTCTCAGTGGCAGGCAGCTATGGATGCAGAGATGGCTTCCTGGAAGTCCACAGGCACCTACGTTGACGCTGTCCCCCCTCCTGGGGCGAACATCGTCAGTGGCATGTGGATCTTCAGGGTGAAGCGGCCGCCGGGTTCTCCGCCTGTCTTCAAGGCGCGTTACGTGGCTCGTGGCTTCAGTCAGCGGCAGGGAGTTGACTACTTTCAGACCTTCTCCCCCACCCCGAAGATGACCACTCTTCGGGTACTGCTGCACGTTGCTGCTCACCGTGACTACGAGCTGCACTCTCTTGACTTCAGCACAGCTTTCTTGCAGGGCAGCCTGCACGAGGAGATCTGGCTGCGTCGCCCACCTGGCTTCACTGGGTCTTTCCCTCCTGGTACCCAGTGGAGTCTCCGGCGTCCAGTCTACGGTCTCCGCCAGGCGCCACGTGAGTGGCACGACACACTGAGGACTACGCTTGCGGCTCTTGGGTTTGCTCCTTCTACTGCCGACCCGTCGCTGTTTCTACGCACCGACACCTCTCTGCCGCCGTTCTACATCCTCGTGTACGTCGACGACTTGGTCTTTGCCACAGCTGACACTGCTGGACTCGCCTACGTGAAGTCCGAGCTGCAGAAGAGACACACGTGCACAGACCTGGGTGAACTGCGCAGCTACCTTGGCTTGCAGATCACCCGGGACAGAGCACGCCGCACCATTACCCTGACTCAGTCACACATGGTGCAGCAGGTCCTTCAGCGCTTCGGCTTCACGTACTCCTCGCCTCAGGCCACTCCTCTGTCTACTCGCCACTCGCTCTCAGCTCTGCCTTCGGATGAGTCCGTAGAGTCGAGTGGCCCGTACCCAGAGCTTGTTGGCTGCCTCATGTACCTGATGACCTGCACACGACCTGACCTTGCATACCCTCTTAGCATTCTTGCACGCTATGTTGCTCCTGGGAGACACAGACCAGAGCACATGGCTGCAGCGAAGAGGGTGTTGCGCTACTTGTGCAGTACGTCGGGCATGGGGCTAGTGCTTGGAGGGCGGAGTCCAGTGGTCCTCACTGGGCACGCGGACGCTTCTTGGGCTGACGACCAGGCTACGCAGCGGTCGTCACAGGGTTACACCTTCAGCCTTGGTTCCGGCTCTGTTTCGTGGCGGGCTACTCGCTCGTCTTCTGTTCTTGGCTCGAGTTGTGAGGCTGAGATCTACGCCGGGGCCATGGCTGCACAGGAGCTTCGCTGGCTCACCTACCTGCTGACCGACCTTAGAGAGCCGCCTCGTTCTCCTCCAGTCCTGTACGTAGACAACAAGGCCATGCTGGCCTTGTGTCGAGAGCAGCGACTGGAGCACAGAACAAAGCACATTGCTCTCCGCTACTTCCTTGCTCGTGAGCTACAGCAACGTGGACAGTTGCGGCTTGCGTACGTGGCCTCTGAGGCCAACACTGCTGATGTCTTCACCAAGGCACTTCCGCCTTGTGATCATCAGCGCTTCTGCACTCAGCTGGGTCTTGTGCCCGTCTTGCCTCACTTGCTCTCCTCTTGACCTTGCTTGTACTCTCACATATGTATATACCTGCTCTTGCTTGTCTAGCTTTATATATATGTGTGTACTCTTGCATGTGAACTGGCCGTGTGGCCTTGACCCTGTGCTCGGACTGTGTGGTGACTTTGTGATCCACCCTGAGCTTGCTTTGCTTTGCTTTGCTTGACTGGTCTTGTGACCCCTTGTTCTCCCCCACTTTGCCTATGGGGGTGTGTCAGAACATTGTAGCTTATGCTGTTGTGTAGGCTATAGTGGGGTATCCCATAGGGGGTACAACCAATTAGGGTTTCATATTTGTACTCACTTCATTTCATAGTTCACCCATTCTCGTTCTCATTTCTCACATCAACGTGTATGTGTCGCAAGCAGAAGTGAAGCCGGGGTGTGTGCTGCGGCAGAGCACTGTCACGTACTGGTGTCCCAAGCTGAGGAGGAGAGAGAAGAACCAAAGGCTAAGGGCAGTGATGATAGCACGGCTGGTGATGATTCATGAGGCATGTTAGCGTATCAATGTTTCGGAAGGCTGCTACTGACTTAGTATTTAAATTAGAGATTTCTAATAATAACAGCCTTTTATATTATTGAACACTGATGCATAAAATTTGGTATGCGTGTCTTTGTGTGATTCCTACATTTTCTGCCCTCTCGATTTTGGTGCAAAGAATGCTGCGAAGAATGCTCCGAAATCATGAACAGCCAATCGGGTCGCTGGAACGTCACTATTAATGGTTTTTTAGAATCACCTTAGTCACGAATAACGCTTGTGACGCGAAGTTACTGTGACGCGTTGTCGCAGGAATGTACCCTAATACTCAAGCGAATTTATTTTTTATTATTACTACTAATGATCTTGTGATCAATGCTCTGGTAGTGTGTCCAAAACAGACATTTGTGTGATGCTCAAGCTGAGATACGAAGTGGCTGGTGCTGGCCTGCCTCTGCTTTGGCTGTAACCTGGTAACATTAGAGCAAGGATGAGGCAGGATTGCAGAGCCAGAGACAGGGACACACGAGATGGGCAGAAAGAAAAAAAAGGATGAGACAGAAAAGGATGGGTTTTTGTTTTGAGACGTCATGGGTTTTGAGATGTCTTATAGGTGGCCGAATAGCAAAGATGAGACAGGGGCAGATGGGGGAACATGATGACGGGGAGGGGATAATGTTTTTGAGAGCACGTGCAAATGAGAAAGAGGAAGGTGGTTGTATGGGCTACAGTCAGGGACGACAGGCAGAGGGAAGAGCAGGGATGGGAGAGGTAGAGAGAAGAGCAGGGATGAGAGAGGTAGAGAGAATAGAAGGGAAGAGAGAGGTGGAGAGAAGAGCAGGGATGAGAGGCAGAGAGAAGAGCAGGGGTTAAAGAGGCAGAGAGAGGATCACAGATGAGAGAGGCAGACCGAAGAGCACAGATGAGAGAGGCGACAGGAGCAATGAATATGTGTACATAGCACCTGTGGGGAGCGTCATGCCATGCCATGCCATGCCACGAATGCATGCAAGAGAGGAGTCGCACCATGCTGAGTGCTTGGAAGGCTGCCTTCACCGTGTTGTGAGAATGCCGTTTGAGAATTCCATGCATCACCAGTCATGCCTTCAGAGAAGTGATTCCATGCCATACCATTCCATGCCACACATGCATGCAAGAGAGGAGTCGCACCATGCTGAGTGCTTGGAAGGCTGCCTTCACCGTGTTGTGGGGATGCCGTGAGCCAATCACCTGCTCTTGCACACTCCCTCCCACACACCATCTCGTGCACACATGCCACCCACCCAACACCCATCCCAGAACAACATGCACGTACACACCACACCCCCCGAACCCCCCACACCTCCCCACACCCCCGCCTCCAAACACACACAACCCACATCCCCCCCCCCCCCACATCCCCCCCCCCACATTCCCCCCCAACCCCCCTCCACACACACACATGGAGACACACAGGCAAGACACAAAAGAGAAATCCAATGAAGAGACAAGCACAATCAAACAACTCTCATCCACCCGGCTGGTTTCGAGAGGCCCGGAAGCTTTAAAAGGCAGCAGGGCCCTCTCAGGCATGCCAGCTCGGATTCGTCAGCGACTGGGTTCTCATACACCCCAGCCCCTCAGCTCCAATCCGACTCCACCTGCCTCTGGCCCCAACTGTCTCTGACCCCAACTGTATTAGAGAAGCTAATCTTGACCTCGACTTGGTCTTGACCCCAATCGTACTCAAAAATAAAATGCCCACGCGCCTCTCACCCCACGTGCCTCTCACCCCACGTGCCTCTCACCCCACGTGCCTGTAAGCTCACGTGCCTATTACCCCACATGCCTGCTACCCACCTTGGTCTTGACGGCTTGGAAGCCAGCGAGTCTCAGAATGCCCGCCAGCGTGCTCCCTGCACTCATGCCTGATCCCTTGCGTGCCGGCCACATGTAAACCTGCCAGGAACAGGGATATGGAATGAAGGGGGGAAGGTTAATAGTGGTGGAGTTCGGTGGAGTAGGGCTCTCAGGCTCCCTGCACTCATGCCCGACCCCTTGCGAGCGGGCCACATGTACACCTGCCAGCCACGCACGGGGGTAAGGGTTGACGGGTTGAAAGGTTGAAGTGAAGGGGCACATGCATGGCAGGGCTGTGTGGATAAGGCTCTGAGGCAGCTCAAGGCACTCATGCCCGATCCCTTGCGTGCCGGCCACATGTATACCTGCCATGCACAGGGATAAGAAAAATCAATTCATGCTTGAACGGCAAAGGTTAGTGGCGGCAGGGGACTGTGGGGTAGGGCTCTGAGATGACTCGCCGCGCCGCAGATGAGGGCACACCCACGCGCCGCACACATATACACTTGGATAGCATCCCCTTTTGAGACGTCCCAGCAGTTGAGGGAACACTTACACGCCGAACACGCGAAACCCCACCTATGTCTTTTTGTGCCACCTCAAATACCATACCACCACCCCACCTATGTCTTTTTGTGCCGCCTCAAATACCATACCACCACCCCACCTGTGCCTTTCCGTGCCGTCTCATCTCAAAGGCCAAACCAGCTACCCCACCTTTGTCTTTCCGTATTTGGCCATCTGTGCTTCGGCAATCGTTCGCCCTCTGAAGCGGTCGAAGTAATGCAGATTCCTCAGTGCTCGCAGGTAGGCCTGGCCAGAAACAATAAGGGGCAAGGGGGGGGAGGGGACAGGGGTAGGAGGGATACATGGATCATGGATGGGGAAATGGGATCAACGTAGCCTTCTGTTGCGGTGGAATGGAAGTAGTGCAGATTCCCCAGCGCACGCAGGTACGCCTGGTGGGGGAGTAGGAGGCCGCGGGACAAGGGGGCATAGATGGGAAAACGGAATGGACGTAGGGGAAAAAGTACTCATCGTTTGTTCGCCCTCTGTAATGGTCAGTCAGAATAATGCAGATTCCTTTCTCAGCGCGCGCAGGTAGGCTTAACGGGGGTAGTAGTAGGGTGCAGGGTGGCCGGGAACAGGAGGCAGTCAAAGCAGTGCAGATTCCTCTGCTTGTGCAGGTTGGACGGGGAATAGGAGGCCGCAGTGGAGGGGATAGACAGGGAAATGCAATGGACATGGGGAAAACATGCCCATAAATCGTCTGCCCCCTGAAACGGTCAGAGCAGTGCAGATTCCTCTGCGTGTGCAGGTAACCTTAGCGGGGGTAGTAGGGTGCAGAGGGGGAGCCGGGGAGGGGGAGGAGGGGGGGGATGGACGGGGCGATGGAATGGACTCACGGCTGACTCACGGCTGACTCAGGGCTGACTCAGGGCTGACTCAAGGCTGACTCAGGGCTGACTCAGGGCTGACTCAGGGCTGACTCAGGGCAGACTCAGGGCTGACTCAGGGCAGACTCAAGGCTGACTCAGGGCTGACTCAGGGCAGACTCAAGGCTGACTCAGGGCTGACTCAGGGCTGACTCAAGGCTGACTCAGGGCTGACTCAGGGCTGACTCAGGGCTGACTCAGGGCATGCGGACTTCAGATAGGTTACAAAGGTGGGAAAGCGGGGAAGGAATGGACACATCCCATGCGTCTCCCTCACCCCTGTGCTCTCACCTTATCAACCGCCAGCCCCATCTCGGCCGACTTGCCCTTGCCATACCCCACTGTGCCTTGCTCTTCAGTCTATCTATCACCGCCCTGCACTGCTGGTCACACCTTGCCTCGCTGTCTCACCTTATCAACCGCCAGCCCCATCTCGGCCGACTTGCCCTTGCCATACCCCACTGTGCCTTGCTCTTCAGTCTATCTATCACCGCCCTGCACTGCTGGTCACACCTTGCCTCGCTGTCTCACCTTATCAACCGCCAGCCCCATCTCGGCCGACTTGCCCTTGCCATACCCCACTGTGCCTTGCTCTTCAGTCTATCTATCACCGCCCTGCACTGCTGGTCACACCTTGCCTCGCTGTCTCACCTTATCAACCGCCAGCCCCATCTCGGCCGACTTGCCCTTGCCATACCCCACTGTGCCTTGCTCTTCAGTCTATCTATCACCGCCCTGCACTGCTGGTCACACCTTGCCTCGCTGTCTCACCTTATCAACCGCCAGCCCCATCTCGGCCGACTTGCCCTTGCCATACCCCACTGTGCCTTGCTCTTCAGTCTATCTATCACCGCCCTGCACTGCTGGTCACACCTTGCCTCGCTGTCTCACCTTATCAACCGCCAGCCCCATCTCGGCCGACTTGCCCTTGCCATACCCCACTGTGCCTTGCTCTTCAGTCTATCTATCACCGCCCTGCACTGCTGGTCACACCTTGCCTCGCTGTCTGACCTTATCAACCGCCAGCCCCATCTCGGCCGACTTGCCCTTGCCATACCCCACTGTGCCTTGCTCTTCAGTCTATCTATCACCGCCCTGCACTGCTGGTCACACCTTGCCTCGCTGTCTGACCTTATCAACCGCCAGCCCCATCTCGGCCGACTTGCCCTTGCCATACCCCACTGTGCCTTGCTCTTCAGTCTATCTATCACCGCCCTGCACTGCTGGTCACACCTTGCCTCGCTGTCTGACCTTATCAACCGCCAGCCCCATCTCGGCCGACTTGCCCTTGCCATACCCCACTGTGCCTTGCTCTTCAGTCTATCTATCACCGCCCTGCACTGCTGGTCACACCTTGCCTCGCTGTCTCACCTTATCAACCGCCAGCCCCATCTCGGCCGACTTGCCCTTGCCATACCCCACTGTGCCTTGCTCTTCAGTCTATCTATCACCGCCCTGCACTGCTGGTCACACCTTGCCTCGCTGTCTGACCTTATCAACCGCCAGCCCCATCTCGGCCGACTTGCCCTTGCCATACCCCACTGTGCCTTGCTCTTCAGTCTATCTATCACCGCCCTGCACTGCTGGTCACACCTTGCCTCGCTGTCTCACCTTATCAACCGCCAGCCCCATCTCGGCCGACTTGCCCTTGCCATACCCCACTGTGCCTTGCTCTTCAGTCTATCTATCACCGCCCTGCACTGCTGGTCACACCTTGCCTCGCTGTCTCACCTTATCAACCGCCAGCCCCATCTCGGCCGACTTGCCCTTGCCATACCCCACTGTGCCTTGCTCTTCAGTCTATCTATCACCGCCCTGCACTGCTGGTCACACCTTGCCTCGCTGTCTGACCTTATCAACCGCCAGCCCCATCTCGGCCGACTTGCCCTTGCCATACCCCACTGTGCCTTGCTCTTCAGTCTATCTATCACCGCCCTGCACTGCTGGTCACACCTTGCCTCGCTGTCTGACCTTATCAACCGCCAGCCCCATCTCGGCCGACTTGCCCTTGCCATACCCCACTGTGCCTTGCTCTTCAGTCTATCTATCACCGCCCTGCACTGCTGGTCACACCTTGCCTCGCTGTCTGACCTTATCAACCGCCAGCCCCATCTCGGCCGACTTGCCCTTGCCATACCCCACTGTGCCTTGCTCTTCAGTCTATCTATCACCGCCCTGCACTGCTGGTCACACCTTGCCTCGCTGTCTCACCTTATCAACCGCCAGCCCCATCTCGGCCGACTTGCCCTTGCCATACCCCACTGTGCCTTGCTCTTCAGTCTATCTATCACCGCCCTGCACTGCTGGTCACACCTTGCCTCGCTGTCTGACCTTATCAACCGCCAGCCCCATCTCGGCCGACTTGCCCTTGCCATACCCCACTGTGCCTTGCTCTTCAGTCTATCTATCACCGCCCTGCACTGCTGGTCACACCTTGCCTCGCTGTCTGACCTTATCAACCGCCAGCCCCATCTCGGCCGACTTGCCCTTGCCATACCCCACTGTGCCTTGCTCTTCAGTCTATCTATCACCGCCCTGCACTGCTGGTCACACCTTGCCTCGCTGTCTCACCTTATCAACCGCCAGCCCCATCTCGGCCGACTTGCCCTTGCCATACCCCACTGTGCCTTGCTCTTCAGTCTATCTATCACCGCCCTGCACTGCTGGTCACACCTTGCCTCGCTGTCTGACCTTATCAACCGCCAGCCCCATCTCGGCCGACTTGCCCTTGCCATACCCCACTGTGCCTTGCTCTTCAGTCTATCTATCACCGCCCTGCACTGCTGGTCACACCTTGCCTCGCTGTCTGACCTTATCAACCGCCAGCCCCATCTCGGCCGACTTGCCCTTGCCATACCCCACTGTGCCTTGCTCTTCAGTCTATCTATCACCGCCCTGCACTGCTGGTCACACCTTGCCTCGCTGTCTGACCTTATCAACCGCCAGCCCCATCTCGGCCGACTTGCCCTTGCCATACCCCACTGTGCCTTGCTCTTCAGTCTATCTATCACCACCCTGCACTGCTGGTCACACCTTGCCTCGCTGTCTCACCTTATCAACCGCCAGCCCCATCTCGGCCGACTTGCCCTTGCCATACCCCACTGTGCCTTGCTCTTCAGTCTATCTATCACCGCCCTGCACTGCTGGTCACACCTTGCCTCGCTGTCTCACCTTATCAACCGCCAGCCCCATCTCGGCCGACTTGCCCTTGCCATACCCCACTGTGCCTTGCTCTTCAGTCTATCTATCACCGCCCTGCACTGCTGGTCACACCTTGCCTCGCTGTCTCACCTTATCAACCGCCAGCCCCATCTCGGCCGACTTGCCCTTGCCATACCCCACTGTGCCTTGCTCTTCAGTCTATCTATCACCGCCCTGCACTGCTGGTCACACCTTGCCTCGCTGTCTCACCTTATCAACCGCCAGCCCCATCTCGGCCGACTTGCCCTTGCCATACCCCACTGTGCCTTGCTCTTCAGTCTATCTATCACCGCCCTGCACTGCTGGTCACACCTTGCCTCGCTGTCTGACCTTATCAACCGCCAGCCCCATCTCGGCCGACTTGCCCTTGCCATACCCCACTGTGCCTTGCTCTTCAGTCTATCTATCACCGCCCTGCACTGCTGGTCACACCTTGCCTCGCTGTCTGACCTTATCAACCGCCAGCCCCATCTCGGCCGACTTGCCCTTGCCATACCCCACTGTGCCTTGCTCTTCAGTCTATCTATCACCGCCCTGCACTGCTGGTCACACCTTGCCTCGCTGTCTGACCTTATCAACCGCCAGCCCCATCTCGGCCGACTTGCCCTTGCCATACCCCACTGTGCCTTGCTCTTCAGTCTATCTATCACCGCCCTGCACTGCTGGTCACACCTTGCCTCGCTGTCTCACCTTATCAACCGCCAGCCCCATCTCGGCCGACTTGCCCTTGCCATACCCCACTGTGCCTTGCTCTTCAGTCTATCTATCACCGCCCTGCACTGCTGGTCACACCTTGCCTCGCTGTCTGACCTTATCAACCGCCAGCCCCATCTCGGCCGACTTGCCCTTGCCATACCCCACTGTGCCTTGCTCTTCAGTCTATCTATCACCGCCCTGCACTGCTGGTCACACCTTGCCTCGCTGTCTCACCTTATCAACCGCCAGCCCCATCTCGGCCGACTTGCCCTTGCCATACCCCACTGTGCCTTGCTCTTCAGTCTATCTATCACCGCCCTGCACTGCTGGTCACACCTTGCCTCGCTGTCTGACCTTATCAACCGCCAGCCCCATCTCGGCCGACTTGCCCTTGCCATACCCCACTGTGCCTTGCTCTTCAGTCTATCTATCACCGCCCTGCACTGCTGGTCACACCTTGCCTCGCTGTCTGACCTTATC